AGATTACTGTCTGCTGATTTCTATTCAGCTGTGATATAACTTCTTATGGCAGTGTCTAATGAAGATTTTGGCACACAAAAGAATGGAACAGAAACCATTGGCTAATAAGAACAAGATCACCAAAATCACCCAGGATTTGATCTTTAGTAAATAAAACTCAAGAAAGAAAATGTAAGGTTGATGAATTCTAATTGGTCAAAATATCATCCATGTGTGTAAACTAAATAGATGCATAACATAGTAGTTATTACCCCTAAAACTACCTTTAGAGGCTGAGTAATCCTTGAAACACCTTGATCAAGTAACATTTCTATGGTGTTCACATGTGTATTATGTAAAATATCCCATAGAATGTGTAACCCCTGGTACTCATGAATTGTTCAATTGACAGACTACCATCGGGTCCTCACTTGACCAATATTTAATTAAGCATGCTGCTACTGTTGCTATTCCCATAAATAAAGGGCAGCACACATTCTGTAAACTGGGTTCTACACTGATCGGGATGAGATAAAACTAAGCCTTACTTTTGACCATGAAAATCAACAACCTCTCCATTGTCATTCCTTTAGTGACCCTCTCTCTGTTACAAGTTTAATATTAGCTACTTTTTGTCTACCTCTAGTACTCTTCAAGCATGCATTTTCATACATCATGGCTGCCCCTTGTACCGAAACAACTTTAACTAGATGTTCAGAAAACTGTGTATTTCCCAAAATATATTTAAATCTGCATTATGAAACATATTCTATTCCAACCATATAAAACATTGGGTACATCACATTTAGATTTGTTATGATATATAAACTACTCTTTGTGAAAATGATGTACTTCTGACATTTTCACCCATTCAAATATTCTAATTTTAAGCAAGCAAAATATCTTGCACAATTCTCACCAAAAAATAACAAGTAAAACTCTGACATATTGTTGAAGTACTAAAAAAAACATAGGTGAAGCTACATTTTCTCTCAAATTTAGTGTGAGTCTCACCATTACTTTTATTTTTCTATGAACATTCATTTCCTGCAGATTAATGCAATGTCAAAATTGAAACATTCTCTTTCAAGTACTAATGAAAATAACACATATTTTCAAATGATATCTTACAGGCCACTAATCACAGTTAACTTAATATCACAAAGTCTTAACAGTGGGATCAAACTCTTTATTTCCATTCTCAAAGCTGAATAATTGTGTTTCTCATGTGATTAATCAAATTTCTATCATACATCCCTTGTGAATGATTTTGTGTAATATTCCTGTACATGTGTGGGACCACCCACACATATTTATTTAGACATATATATTGCCATATGCATTTCTCTCTGTTACATATCACATACATCAAGATCTTTCAACAGACTTCCTTCAGCTCTCACTTAAATTACTTCATAACATCTTGGAGTAATTTCTTAAGGTACTATAAGTAGCTGTCATTTAGTAAACTGCTACCGCCAGTGATCCATTAAACTTGTGTGTCTTTTTTTTAAGCATTGCAATATAAATATTCTCTTAGTTCAGCTGAATTAAGACTTTTTAGCTTAAAATTCTTGTAAAGTCAGGATTAATTATCTGTTCTGTTACTATAGTATAAAACAACATACATTTAAACAAATACAACTCCCTACTGCATATGGATAAGTTCTACATCTTCATTTTAAGGTTATCAGCAACAAAAGATATTGAAAAGACTCTGCAGCATTATCCATGAAGCTCTCATTACTTAGCTTGATCAGATGAGTGATTCTCAGGAAACATCCCCAATGTTTTGCTTCACCAAAATTACTCAGTAGCCCAGAAAGCACATGTTGAAAGACCCTTTCAACTATGTCTTCAATCTCCTAGTTGTCATCTATAATTGAGAATATGTTACATTTACTGGCACTAACTATCCTAAACTGTGTTAATTGAGCAGCTACCTTTCAATATTCAAAAGATCTCTCTTATGGTGAAATTCTGCTCAGTATCTCAGAAAATAAAAGCTGAAAAACTCTTTTGGTTCCATTAATCTCACAATTAATAAACCATCCTAACTTCAGATGATCATGTGGTAATTATGCAGTGTAGAGCATACATTATACTTTAGAATACCACCTGATAGCTCTGAAAGCAAAGGTCACAACACTTATTTCAACTGAGTTTTCAAACTTCTAGCTATCATCTCCAGTCGTACAATTGGTGATATTCTATGTATTACATCTACTGACACCAGCCAACTTACCTTCATTGTAATCAAGTGGAAATCATAGAATGTAATAGATACACTGTAAGGTGAAATTTACTTGATTGCTTGGAAAGCAAGGATTACCACTTCCTTTCAGTCACTGGGTGCTTGATATAATGATCGTTCTAACTGTGGTGATCATACATTAATCCCAGCCATATTTACCAAGAGACCAGTGGTGGCATCTCAACTGCTTTCCAGACCTGTATCTTGCCTCTAAATCTATTATTTCCTCATCTGTCTGAAATGCTTAAGGAAGAGGTCTAGACCTTCTTTGGTTTTACCCTTAAATGTTGAGGGTAAAATTCTCTTAGCCTTACTCACAGAGACCTGTGAGGGAACTATAATACTTTCTTCTGTGAACCCTCAGCCAACACCAAGCTGAGACATCCTAAATGTTAGAAGTACAGAATGGTAAGGTCTCTCAGGAATCCTGATGCTTAGGCAAGCAGTAGACCCCTATTCTAGGGTGGCAGAATGATTAGGTGCTCTAATGACCTCATTCATTGGTTCTGTTTGATTACAAACTCCTCAGTGGGTCATTTTTACATCAATGCTATACCTTGTAGCTCAGGGAGGCTCATCACTGCCCTATGATCCACTCACTTCATCATTCAATGGCCACCATCTCATATTTTTCAACTACTGGTGAGATAGTTTTGGTTAGTGGACATCATCCACCAATGGTGTCTCCAATCTCTCTCCAGTGTTCTTGGGTCGCTTGACCAGAGTTGGGGTTGGATAACTCTGGGAGTCTATACAGATCATCCACCCTGGATTCAGACTCACTAAATGTCACACCGCTGCAAGGATTCTCAATCCATGTTTCACTTGCACCAAGGTTGATCCTCAGGGAGAGAAATTGATCAACCATTCTGGGTGCACCAGATTTTGGCAAAAATAAGAAAGACATCATGAACCTTTGAAACATCAGTAAAAGTCCTACACCCAGCAACTCTCTTTAACAGTCGTTTTCCCTAAGCAACTCTCTCTCACTCTTGTTCACAAGTCCTTAAAGTTGTGAAAAATGTCATTTCTTCAAACTCAAAGCCTTTATAAACTTAATAAATAACACAAGAGTTCAAGTAAAGGGCAGTACACACTTCTGCAGATATAGCAAATCCAGTGATAACAGATAACAATATACTGTAGTCATGACAACAAACTTTTTCCCTCACTAATCCACTCTGGTGTATATCCAGGTAGAATTGAATTAACTCTAGAGATACATCAGATATGTCCACTTATTAACTGGAGATTTGATCAAGATATTGATTATGGAGCAATACTAAAACTCTTATTGACTGGATTGGTATTTTAAATTAAGAAACAAAGTGAAACATAAAGTTAACAATTTTTATTATGTAATGAAACACAAATACCTTGTGTGTACCTGCTTAGATGTTTTAAACACTTTGAACCATCACTTTCACTGGATTCTTTCAACTGCTTACTTTTCTAGATCTTGTTCCTTACTCACTTGGGATCTCATACCAAAATTACTGATTAATTAAATGAAGATGAAGTTTCAGACTGAATAAATCCAAGGTTCCTTAGTATGCAAGAAAACTAGTAGTTACCGAGAATGACATGTGCTACTCATGTTACTGGTCATTTTTATTACAACATGAGAGGGATTGTAACCTCTAGATATCACCTGAACAACCATTAAAGGACACTGCTGTTGACATACTTAAAATGTAACAGGTATTATCTACCTTAAAGAACAACAAAGGAACAAAGGTAACTTCAAACAAGATCAACTTAGTGGTTTTATCAATCACATTATGTGAAACATGTACATATTCAGAACAAAGAATGAATTCAGAATAAATATTATAATACTACAAGAAGATAGAAACACATGATATATTCAAATAACACATAAGTTCTTTTGTATTATTCACATGCTTCTACATATTTATTCTGCTATATTTGAACTATTGTTAATAGTTTATCATTTTCAGTTTGATTTTGTGTTACTCCCACTTTTTCTCTCTTTTTTTTTGTAACTTCAAAGATCTTTGAAACTTATGCTCATTATCACTTTTTCTTGATTTCTTGGAGAGTTTAAGGCAGTAAAATCCTTACCTTTTCTGGATTGTCACTAGTTATTTGTAACATTATTTCATTTGTACTTTTCTTATTTAGCTAATATAATATTTTAGATATGGCCTTTAATTGCATCATTAATCACATCATTAATTAATGTCATATTTTGCAGATACTCTATCTATCACTATATATACGGTATGATAATGAAAAGTATGCAAAAGGTGTAAGAATGTATTAATTTAGTGAAGTATAGCAGAGATTCAGTTAATGGATAAAATGTACTGATCATTAATTTTGGAAGAAAAGTTTGAAATAACAGTTAGACGATTTTCCTCGGAAATTGGCTTACATATGTATCTCTCAAGTATTTGTAGCTTAGATTAGACTTAATTTGATTTATGAATTTGAGAAAAATAAAATGTAAAATTTGAGATTATTCAGCTGCTGTATCTAATGTTTTTGCAAAATAATGCAATTGAACTCATCAATTTTTGTTTTTACAAAGACATTTCAACAGTCATTTAAAGTATTTTTCAGGATGAAATAATTTAGAAAGTTCTAAGTAGTTTGTTCAGGTTATGGTCTTATTTTGAACTTTACATATAAAAGTAGATATAATTATAGATGATACCTAAAAATATCTTAGAAGGCATCAAAATGTATATATCATTGAAGTTACATTTTGAAGGTATTATGTGCAATTATGTGAAAAGATTTTGTTTTTGTTTATAATATTTTAAAAGCATTTTTTTTTTAAATTAATAATAAAGACAACATTATTCTTTTCATCTTTGTCATGTGCAAATATAAAGCTGTGTGAAGGATTGTAGTTTACAGCACATTTGTGCTTAGTATTAGAAAAAAATAATAATATTGTCTCAATGCAGTTTTATTATTAGAAGTCTATTTTGGCACAGTGTCTCTACACACTTGAAAGCACTTACAATTTTAAATAATTTTAAAATTTAAAATAAAATTTCTTTTGAAGCAAAGCTATATTAACATTTGTAAAATGGTTGTGTAAGCTATATCCAAAGAAACTTATTTTTAAATTTTTCCTGTTGGACATAAAAAATACCACAGTTTATTAGAATTTTTATTTTCAACAGATGGACAGAAAAAAAAATCTTTACCTCGACCTTTAGCATTTTGTAAAGTCTTAACAGTGCGAAGAAAGATATGGGTACTAGCAGGGTGCACTTATAAGTCAACAAAAAATACACAAAAACTTGTTAGTGTATCTGAAGTTCATGTATTTAATCCTACTAATAATATTTGGAAACGACAACTAAATCTACCCGGGCCCCGTCATTCTGTAGCAACTTGTAAGATTGGTAAGTGTGCTTTAATTATGTAAATACACTATTTATATCACATTTCAAAAAACCTGATAACACCTGAGTGTGTTTGCAAGGTGAAGTCATCCCTGAAGAAAGAAAACATACTTCCTAAAAGTTTTTTTTTATCATTATTTAATAATCTAAATTTTCTCACCCTATGTATTGTTTGTGGTAGTTATTGTAGTTCACTATATTTTCTATTGGTTAATTTTACTTTTTGCCTCTGTTTTGAAAATAAAAATGACTCATTAGTATATTTTAACCCACATGAAATGCAATTTATTTTAGTGGTTCTATCAAATTTTCAAACTTAATGATTTTAATAACTTATAGTTTAATATATTACAGTTCTATACAATGAATTAAATCTCTTTCAAATGGCAAATTCAAAATTTTAGTCAGTACATAGTTTTCATGTAGATAATTTTGCTTGCTTGCTGTTAAGCACAAAGCTACACAGTGGGCTACCTGTGCTGTGCCCACCATTAGTATTGAAACTGTAATTTGAGCATTATAAGCCCCCAAACTTACCACTGAGTTTTGAGAAACTTTAAGTTGTTGTGTGACATCTCAATCCAAAAATAGTTGGTTATTGTCACTTGTTCTAAACAAAAAATTTGAAATTTCAATTAGGTAAAAATATGTGGTATAGATATATGCACTATTTAATATTTAGAGAGAGTAGTTATGTAGTTTGAGCATTATAAGTTTCCAGACTTACCACTGAGTTATTGAGAAACTTTAAGTAGTTGTGTGACATCTCAACCTAAAATTAGTTGGCTATTGTCACTTGTTCTACACAAAAATTTTGAAATTTCAATTAGATAAAAATATGTGGTATAAGGTTTGTTAATATTTGCACCTAAATATATGCACTATTTCATTTTTAGAGAGAGTAGTTACGTAGTTCTTGTACTTCTGATTAAATTTTAGTTCTGTTGATCAGTGTGAAACAACTTACATTGAGAGTAGGTAACAATAGAAGTATACAATCAGATGAGTACATATATTGCAATTTTGAATTACATTAGTTTTATCAATTCACCTATAGTTGTGTAATACTGTTGACTGTCATTACTTACTGTTAATTTAGCTTGATTGATGAGAGCTTAAATAGCCTCATACATCGCAATCACATGGTCATGGTGTGATGAAATTAATATTTTCATACTTTACCTTTATATAATTACTATAAAATATATCTCAAGTGAGATATATTCAGGTTGTTTCTCTAAATTTCCATGGATGTGTTCTGGATATATTTAGCAAAATCCTGGTGAATTAAACATAAGAATATCATAAACATACTCTACCTTATGTAAAGTTAATATACTACAATGGCTATTCCATATATGCTTATACCAGCTAGTTCATGTTTCTGTATCTTACCTCTGTGTCTTGTTTCAAGTGGTTTTTCATAGACTTGTACAAGTTAGTATGAGTTGGGGAGTTAACTGCCTTGTATATTTTTATTTGGAATAACCAGTAATGTAAGTAATCTAAGGTGGAGACTTGCAGTTTGTGTTATTGTGAAGAAAGATGTTTCATTTATCTACTTCTGTTCTTTGTTTTCCTTTGCTGTACATGTTTGTTTTACCCTGCATAACATTTCTTGGAGCTACATTTTGTGGATGTTTAATTCTTATCTGTCAGACATTGATGTACCATAGTGGTATGTATGGTATTATTTACTGCTTTGCAGCTTAATACATTTAATATTAAAGTACATAGACAAATATCTTGTTCAATGTTGACACATATGTATGAATTATACATTAATTTCAGTTGTTGTAAATAAATGTTTGTCCAGCAGTTGCTGCCAGTATATGTGGATAGGCTAAAGCCATCTGTTTTTGAGCTTTTAGCTATTTGATTGATGAAAATTATAGACATTATTCGTAATTGACAATAATACCTGCTTTTATTCATTACATAGTTTTTGAGTTGTGTAAATGTTTTGCATAATGTTTGTTTCTAAATGCTATTTCTTTGTTCATGTTTTTTATGAACTTTGGTTTGTAATAGAATGGCTTATGTAGGTGTAGAAACTGGGGAGGTTGGGGGAAGGGAAGCTAAAAGACTGAATGATGAATGCAATTTCCAAATGTTTCCTACACTTCAATCATATTTTGAGGATGGACATATTTATTAGTCATCATGTTTAGGACATTATCTCAGTGTGGTGTTATAAATCAATTCTTTACCAATCTGTATTAACTAATGAAAGTACAGTTTAATTCTAAAGCATAACAAATTAGAAAATAACTAATAAGTAGGATTATAATATTAGACATGCAATATGTCGTCTCATATAATTCTAAAAGTTTGTACAAGGGGGGGAAGACTTCACTTTCCCATTTACACTTAATATAAGTTATGGGGATAAAGTAAGCAGTGGTTATTTCTATGGAAATCTCATTTTTGCACCTCTATCAACTGGGATCAAATATTGGACCTCTCCAATATTAAGCAAGTGTTCTACTTACTGTGCTAAAGGGTTAAATTCCTAGCTATTATTAGTTAGACACTTTCAACAATAAAATTACCACAATATGTTATGCAGCTTGATGTTGTTTTTGTTTTCAATAAATAAGCTGCATTCGTAATAACATTTTGATTAAAAAAAAATATATATATATAATAAAAACTACAAAGAAACTGGAAATAAAGCAGTAACATAGAATAATAATGCAGTAGATAAATAAACTATGCTAGTTTGAGTGTACATTACAGTGAGGTATATTTTTTCTAAGATCATGCTTCTTTTAAATAGCACAATGTTTCTAAGAATTGTTAAAGTTAAAATTGTTAGAGTTACACATTTCTGATAAAATATTTATTGTATGCCTTCAACTAATTTTTTTACACAAATCTTACCTGAAATACTTAACAATATGTAATTTAAAATACTTTAACAAATGTGTAAGGAATACGTTAATTTTACTTACCAGATTTGTTGTCAACTAAAAACATCAACAGTAAGCTGATAAATCATGAAGTTTGATACATCTGTCATTCTAATATACATATATACAACAACTGATATTAATGTTGGTACTAGAACTTGATAATTGGAATAGTAGATGTGTTTGGTGTTCACAAGTAATCCATTATAGACTATCAAGCAACACGTGTATTTGATTGATAGCAACACAATATATACAAAAAATGAAATTAAAATATGATTTTACTCAAGAATTCTGAAACATTAATTTCCTATAAGACAATTAAAAAGAATACTCTGAAATCAGGGTTATATAATATATGAAGATTAGTTTTATTATACCGTAATGTTATATTAAAACAGAAAAATTTAGCTACCTAAAGGTCATAAGCCATTGTGAAAGAGCTAGTTTTGACTATGGTATATGGTCTAAACAAAACTCTGCTACAACCATGGTCAAACAAAAACAATTTATTAAAATATAACATCAGAAATCCAAAATAAAACTTTCTAGTTGGAATACAAATTATATTACTTGCAAAAAAAACAATTAGTAAACACGTGCCTCTAATAAACAATACAACAGAAATCTCAATGTGATTATTTTCGATAAATATCAAAGGAATTAGGAAAAAGAACCAGAAGAACAAAAAACCTAATTCACCTGAGAATACACAATGTTTCAAAATTAAAACACTTCTCAGCATCCAGAACAGGATTGAGCGATAATTAGCAATATTTTTTTAAACTATATCATGTGAAGTAACTCGTTTTCAAGATCAAGGAATGCTTTTTATTTAGTGGTGAGACTGTAAGGTTATATCTCATGTAAGTAGCATAAATCTACATAATCTTTCACAACATTAATATCTTTACATCAACACCAGGGGAAGCTGGTTTCACCTACTCAAAATCAACATGTTCTAGATAGAAGGTGAGTTAGTACTTTAATATAACTAAAAATGTATAGTTGAATTACATTATAGAAGGAATAATAAATGAATGGTAAACAAAGCCATAACAACATAAAAGTAGAATACACTATCTCACAGTACTATACAAAAATTTCCTAAGTTTTAAATATGTCCTATTGGCATACCAAAGACAATACTAATACGAATATGTTACATATTACAAGCAGAAACTAGTTTCATTCTCTTGTATGACTATGGTGTTAATCTATGATTTCAAGTACGTCCTTGTGTAAAAGATTAGTTGCAAGTTCCTGCTTAACTCTTACCAATGATTTGGTTAGACTTCACATAATCTTGCTTCCCAGTGGTTCAGTGGTAAGTCTGCAGGCTTATGAAACTAAAATTTGGGTTTCGATACCCATGGTTGGTAGATTACAGATACCACGTTGTGTAGCTTTCTGCTTAACAACAACCAAACCAAACCTCACACTCTAATGGCTATGTTAACCTATGTAAATCTAAGAACTTTACAAGTTACAAGATGTTGTACTTTGCTTACCATGGCTGGGGTATGACATTTGCAAGGTCTCTTTCTGGATAGTCCTGTATTCCAAGTTGATCTATATTCTTTTTTTTTCTTTTTTGTCCAGTGTTACTAAGTACAAGGGATATCCCTGTTTTTGAAATTCTAAATCTCTGATCTGAATATACATTGTATCTGAGTGTATGAATATTTTGTGTCAGAAAGGACTGTTACATACCAATCTCGAAAGCAATCGATTTTTGGTAGCATCACACATAACTGCAAAATGCCAAATAATATCAAAATGTAGTTTTTGACACATACTGTTCCACTGTGACTATATCTGTTATAGTTGTCAACTGAATTGGCAATTTGCATATTCAAAATTGTATTAATATAATGTACTCAACATTTTGTATACAAAATATAATATTTACTTTAAGAACATATTATTATATATCATGATAATTATTTTGCTTCATCTTTACTCACTTTATGGATTACATATTACTGGTAATATCTAGGTAATAAAGTTATTTTGCTGGGAGGCATGACAAGCTTGGACCAACAAGCTATTCCTGATCTTGACATTTATGATATTGAAGAGCAGAAGTTTAAAAATGGTGCCACCTTCCCCTGTCCTCTGACAGGAGCTGTAGCCCTCGAGATTCCTCAGGAACGGGATTGGGTCAAGGCAAAGTGGGTATGTGTAGAGTTTCTCGTAGATAAAGTTGAAGCTATATGAACTTGGTTCTACATATTTGTTTAAATTTTAAATTAAGAAAATACCTATACAGTACAAAATATACTACAAAGTTTCAAGTATTGCTTCAAACATTTGAATACTTTCAATGAAATTGGCCTTATTCCTGTAAGTTTGTAAAATAAGTAATTTTCTTATTCTTTTACACTCTGAAAAGATGAGTTGAAAAAATATTTAGCTTTTGAGTCCATCTAATATTTCAGAATCTCTTAAACAAGTTAAAAAAAAAGTTATTTTCTACATTGATACCATAAGTTTACCTATTGATAGATTATGCTAGAAATAATATAAACATTTGTATAAATTTGTTTTTGTTTTAAATTTTTTACAGTTTTGGGAAGATCCTGATATTGATCAACTCAACAGTGCTGCTACTACCATACAAGCTGCATATCGTGGTTATCAAACAAGAAAAAAATATATAATGAAAAAACAGACAAATGTATGTCAAAGTTTTTCCAAAAATATGCTCTTCTTACTTCTGCATATATATATATATGATAGCTTTTTAACCAAACACCACCTTACTTCTTACTCAAAAGTCATTGGATCTTCCAATTAATTTTGAACTTTTCAGCATACATGGGAATCTTTATATAAATACATATGTTTAAAGAAGGAAAGTTACTTTATTTTAAACAGGAACTCTGTGGGAACTCAAGGATAAACTATAAAACAAACACAGTTACCTGATTTACACAGTAAGTAATGATTCAAAGATCTGGTATATGATAGGACAAGTATATAGTATACATATTTGATGTTGAAGATGAAATAAAAAATAAATCTTTATCGGTAAAGAAAAACAAACAGGAAAGTGGCTGGAAGTAGGACTACTGCACTGCCATTTAGAGTTGAAATGAAGAAAATGAATGTTATTTACATGGAAGCATTAAATACAAGAAAAAAGTATTTGGTAAAAGATAGACAAAAATAAACTTTACTGAAGATAAAGTTAAATCATATACGATTAGCAGGTTTGCTCAAAGCTACCTGAGGGCTCTCTGTACTAGCCACCCCTAATTTAACAGTGATAGACTAGAGAGTAGGCAGCTACAGGGTTCTAGTTAACCCGGATTCCCGGGTTCCTTACGAATGATAATTTGTCTGAACGCATGAGACTTGACCCCCTGAGTACCAAATATGCACCACAAAATGCCCCATACACAGGGCAAGCACAAGTACTTTGCTTTGAACTTTGTACCCTAACAAACTAAACAGCATACAGTTTGCAGACAGCTGTTCACCATCAACTTCTAACAGGTTTCATCAATGACAATAAATTGCATGAAAATAAATCCACATAAATGTTCCACATGATTAACCCTTTCACCTCAGATAGGTCAAAGTGCACGTGCTATAAAGTTACATTCAAAATTTAATTAAACTACTTTATTATCAACATATATGAATAAATTCAGCATCAGAACGTAGATAATAAATCAAAGTTTGGTATTATTTAAGTTTTAGTTTCTTAATTCTATAAGGAAATATTTTTAAATATTCTCAATCTCCCCTAGTATGAGAACTGTGACATTTGTTATCTATGTCTTCCCTCTTCTCTATTTTTACAACCCCTCCAAGAAGTATGAAATTGAATGTAAATTGCACATTATAATATTGTCATCACTCAGGCAAAGCATAATTTACATAGTTTTCAGTCTTATTTAGTTAGAGAGCAATAAATTAGAAAATCAGACCTCTCTTGCCCATGCCCACCTGTCACATCCTCTCTTTCAGAACTTGCTAATAGTTCTCTCTGATATTTAAGGCTATATTATTTATAACCAATAAAAAGACAAAGTTTTTCTCAATAAAATGAAGTATTATATTACATTTTTTTCTATACAAAAAATTGTTTATTTTCATTACAGTTCAAACTTTATTGCCAGAGGAAACAGGTTGACGAGCTCAGCTGCAAATTGTTAATGGCTTTTGTTGCAGAGCTAGAAAGCCAGACAAATTGTGATAGTTATGGAACATTGTTTCCCTTTTGCATGTTATTCTTCTGTGTTCTTTGGACATTATTTAATCAAATGAAAATTATTTAATGCAGTTGTACCATTAGTATAAAAAAGCAGGGTAAGTTTCATCGATAGTTGACAGCAAAAAAAAAAAAAAGAGGACCCAGGTAAGTATTTTATTTCTTTTTTCATGTGTATTCTATATTTATTATTATAAAAGGACCAAAATGTAAAAATTTAAAACTTTTAGGTTAGGTAAAGTAAAATAAATAATAATATTAATAATAATTTTTATGAGGTACGCTTATGAGTAGTCTATACATTATTTAATTTGATACCATAATGTCAGCTGCATGTTCCCCACATGATTTGCAAATTATATGCTGCAAATATTAGTTAGACATGGTTCAAAGGGCAGTAACACAATAAAATTTAAGTATAAATAGATATATACTGTTACCAGTTTAAAGCTATTTAGGATAAATAATTGTGGTTTTCTGTTATAATTTGTAGTCATTCAAGAGAGAAAATAGGGGAATTTAGAATAATTTCCTAATTTCTTATGGTGGTTACGAGGTCGGTCAAATCAACTGACTTCATATAGAGTTAAATATTATCACCCAAAAGCAATATAAAAGCTTGTCTGTTATATGACAGCGTTTTCATATTCCTTGAGACATATTTTAGAGACAAATGACAACAAGTAGTTATAAGTTTAAAATCTTCAAGATGTTTCTTTATTTTCTACTAATTAACTAAATAATTTCTAAGATATCAAAGTTTAGTAATTGGTACCCAAGCAGGTTCTTACAATAATTTGTTTATAAACATTAATTGGACCAAAACATATCATAAAGGAAAACAAGAAAGCAAGTAATCACTTTTAAGTAATGATACCTTAAAAACAGAAGAAGATACTTTCATGTTTATTGGAAAAGCTGTTCCTTCTACCCTCTTGCATATTGTCCTACTTTAGCACCTGCTGAGGTAACCAACATTTCATTGTAACACTAATAAAAAATCAAAAAGGGAAACTACATGTAGCGTAAATTGTAAGTAAAGTTTTTCATTGACACTGAAGTGTGTTTTTCTTTTCTTTTTTAATTTTATTAAATTTTACCTATGGGACCCTTGAAAATTAGTATCATCTAGGGCTGAATTTAGACATAACCTTGACTGTACTTAGGATGTTCCATTTAAAAACATTTTAGATGTGAAATATATTCTATAGGAAGAGGGATATGGCAGCTGCACTAGGTGGTAGCTAATATGATACTGTTGTTATGTTGTTAAGCAAAATTTAAATCTAAAAAAAGTACTTGAAGCCAACAGCTAGTGTTCGTATGTTCTGCAACTGAGCAGTGGTGGGATTCAGCCGGTTCGCACCGGTCC